TGCCCTAGAGACAATTATTGTTGGTGGGATCATAATTCTTACCGATTGGGAAGTTCAGGTAATGCTCTATAAATTTTTAATATCACTTTTTTCTGTTACTTCAAAAAAAAAGGTACGTTAGTACTTATTATTTAGGTTTTTCTAAAAAAATCAGAAACAATTTTTTGTATTTTTAGATATTTTCTTATAAACAGAAATGAGAGCATCGTTATGGAAGACAGGAAAAATAACATATATAAAACTGTATTTTGATCTCTTTACCAAAGAATTTTCTTTTGGATTTTTATAATTAATCTCTTTTGGAAAGGAAAATTAAATTATCCATTTTTTCACACAAAACATTTAGTAGACTTGCTTGAATCACCTTAAAAATAACTTGAGCATTTTTTCTATTTCCAAATTTGATACAAATAGTCTCATGTTAAAGTTACAAATAATCTCTTTATTTTTAATGAAGATTTGTATATATTTTTAAAATGAAGGAAAGAACTACTCCCTCTGTTCAAATGTAAGGTATTTTTAATTAAATTTTAATTTACTAAAATAGTTAATTATCTTTAAATTAATATCATATTTTTATATTTATTTCTATTTAATATGGTGCTTTTACTTTAATGTAAATATAAAATAATTTATTTATTATGAGCATTTTTAAAAAAATATAATGACTATACTTTGAAACACTAAAAATGTCTTATATTTTTTAATATCCAATTCTTCCTACATTTTTGAATGTAGAGTGTATAAATATTAAAATGTGCAATTTAATCTTTATTTTAAGATAATTACTCTGCGTGTGTGTATTTCAAATGGAGGATAAGTTTTTTATTTATTTATGCAGACACACATTAATTACTCTAAACAAAATGGCATGCATGCTTTACTTTATATTTTACTTTGACCTTTGTGTAGGTGGAAAAAGCCGTGGCTCGTTTGCAAAATTCCGCCGATGAAAAGATTCTGAATGACTTGATTGATGATTAATATTAAAAACATTCGCTCGTTCAAATTGATTGATTGATTGATTGATTCATGCACACTCTTATGAGCCAATAATCTCTAGTGACGTGAAACTCACCCTTATAAGTGTTTATCTTGTTGTATGTAGTTTTTAAAACTATATAACTTCTAAGTGAATCTTTTATTGTGTTCTTAAGTACCCCGCTCAACTTTTCATTTTTCATCAAATAGGCTAATCTCACTTGCAAATTAATGGTTATGATGACAAATTGTAGTTCAAATTTTAATTTGATATGTGGTAACTTAGATTTTAGCAAATTTCTATTTAAATATTAAGAAGTTGTAATTCTAAGTTTGATGAGTTTAAGTTTCATTTTGAATTTTAACAAATTGTAGTTTAAGTTTTGACAAGTTATTCTTTTAAAAGCGTTAAGAAATTTTAGTTTGAATTTTATCAAGTCATCTGATTTTGAAACTCTAGAAGCAAGTTGTAGTTTAGATTTTTGACAAGTTATAATTCATACTTTAACAAACTATTTTTTAAAGTATTTTGATTCTTGACTATTTGTATCTAGAATAATGACATTTGATGAGTTATAATTTGGATTTTGATAAGTTATTGACTTCAAATAATTTCTTAATGTTTTAAAGAATAGTTTGTCAAAATTTGAATTGCAACTTGTTGTGGAACCTTTGGTGGCCACTGGCGATGATAACTTTATCAAAATCTGAGCAACTAGACCATCACTAGAGCTCCAATTCTAGCCAATAGCCATGGTGGTGGAGGTTTTTTTTTAAAAAAAAAAGATAAAAGAAGGTTATTTTTGCAATTCATCAAAAAGAATAATTGCATATCAGTCCCTTAGTTCTAGCTTGTCAAATCCTCTGTTTTTTTTTTTCATAATTAGGTTTTTTCAGGACCCTTTGATGAAATTCTCTCTTTTTAAATTGTGAATATTGCATCCCCTCATTCTTTTATATTTTTTACAATGCACAAGAAATTACCTAATTTAAGATTATATCCACCTTGATAATTCGCTAGTCTTTTTAACACACTAGCTTTATATTTTTTTAATTTTATTTATAAGTTATTTTCAGTATATTTTAATAAAAGTAAATAAAATATTAAATTTCATTGGTTCTATTTAGAAATTCAATAAATTTTTAATTCTTAATTTTATCTCTATTAAATATACATCCTTCAAAAATAAAATAATCAGCATATCAATATCTTATTTACCAAAACAAATACGATCTGGATCTACTATAAAAGGGACAAGAGGAGAGGAGCATATAATATTCAAAACAAATAATGGATATGTTTCTTTTTGAAGTGGGAGTAGGTTGATCAAATTTTTTTTTGAATTAAAAGAGATAATAACACAAAGTAACAAAGTACAGGCTAATTAAAAACATAAGATAAAGTACAGGCTAACAAAGTATCAAAGATATAATAATTTTCTAAACTGAAAACACCAATCTGATCTTTTTTTTTTTTTGAATTAAAAGAGTTTTGAATTAGAAGAGATAATACAAAGTAACAAAGTACAGACTAATTAAAGACAGAAGATAAATTTCTCCCATTATTCACCATCTTAAGACAATAAGGAGATGGGTGATTAAATATATACCAACTTTCTAAACTAAAAGCAACATTCCTAGTTAGGAAATGAGCATAAAAATTAGCTTATCTGAATATGAAGTTTACTGTGACTTGCCACTCTCTGTAAAAGCGACCTGGCTTGTTCAACGAAGTCCCTGTAAGGTTGATCCATATTGCAACAATAAATTAGGTTGATAGCTTCAGCACAATCTGTGAAAACTTTGAATCTACAAAAGCCTCTATTCCAACAAAGAAGTAAACCATATACAATCCCAGTTAGTTTCGTGATTGCTATTGGAAAAGTCCCAACAAAAGCATTGAAACCTACAACCCAATCAGCCTTATAGTTCCTTATAACTCCACCACATTTGCCTATGCCATGTTGAATAGAACCATTAACATCCAGACTTCTCCCTCCTCGATCGGGGAGAATCCATTTCTCATATTGGACTCCATATTTCTGATTTAGGGAAGGGGACATATTCATCATACTAAGATCTGATTTTACTTTTATCAAGGTAGTAAAACTCGATCCAGTTTTGTCCAGATCCTCATTCCCAAAGAGTTTCCTACATCTTTCGCACCAGATCCCGGCAGACATACCTAAAGAGAATAGACCAAGGTACCTGTCTAGTGAACGCGTTACCAACTTCACTCTTGAGATTCCAAGCTATCCATTCCTCTCTAGTCATGCTCTTGAAACAAGTCCAAAGCTCCGTCTTGACGAGACACCTCCAGCACTCCTTAGCATGTGTGCAATCTCTAAGGAGGCCGGTGCGTCACATCTTCACTCGTGTTGCATCTAAGAGGACAGGCATAAGAAGTTGACATGCCTCTTTTAGCTCTCATCTCCACTGTATGAACTTTGTTTGTCATGAGCTAAAGGAATGCTTTGATCTTCTCCAGACTCCATCTCCATATGTGACTCCAGATCCTAGCATTAGAATCCTGGTTACCAATAACAAGAAAATCATAGGTTGATTGAACATGAAACTTGCCATCATTGGATGGTTTCCACACAAATATATCCTCGCATCTCTCAATCCTCAGGATAGGGGTGCAAGCAATTTGGTGAACAATATGACTAGGCCACCATCGCTCCATTCTTCTAACATCCCATCTCTCATCAGTACAAACATAATCCGCCAGTGACTCAATAAGCATTATAGGAGTGACTATGAGCGATATGGGCCAACGGCACACCACAACTTGCCTAGTTCTCAGTCCAGAACATGGTACTTCGTCCATTATTGATTTGTCTCCCAGCTCCTTCAGTGAATTTTCCCCAGCATTTACAGATAGTGTGCCAAGTTAGAGATTTCCAGCATTTATATTTTGGACTTAAGCACTTGAATCCAAGGGAAGTCTTCATTATTAAGAAATTTCCACTAAAGCTCACAGATAAAAGCTTTATTTTGCTTCTCCATATCTTTAATGCCTTAGCCACCATTCCTCTTATCTTTCAAAACTGCGTTCCAAGACATGAGGTGGACTTTGTGTTGTTCCTCACTAGAGCCCGACAGGAAGTTACGACAAAGTTTTTCAATCTCCACGAGCAGTTTTTTAGGCAACACCATGGTCTGCATGTAGGTTGATCATTTTAAAAAAATATACTTAAAAATTGTAGAATTTGAGTAATAGAATAGTAAGAGGATTCATTGATGACTCCAGATTTTATCACTCCACCTTTTTTTTTCTTTCCAAGATGAGTGTGGCAAAAGTTGGACAGATCATTTAAAAAAAAAAAAATCAAGCGACGTTGGCTTGCAGTGATCTCCTGGGAAAAACCAGCCAAGTTTTGCAGGCACTGTGTAGTATGTACAATAGAAAAAGCGGGGGACTATGTCTATGTCTATTAGTTGCTCATGTGAATCTACCATTTTGTGTTGCCTCCCTCCCTCTCACCGACCGTTTGGAGTATCTTCGTCTCGCATCTCTATCTTCTTCTCTCCGTCCTGCGAAATTTTCTTCATATCAAAGTCTAGAAAATGTCTTCCATTAATTCCCCAAAATGTCTGCCATCTTCGATTCTTTCCCAGGGTGCTGGTTTAGATGCCGATCGGGAAGCTTTCGTACGCGCATGGCCAATCTGGATGGCCATTGAAGTCTGAAGATGCATGGAAGCTAATGTGTTGAACAGGTGGTGGGGCCACTCATCCGTGCTGCTAAATTAATATTTTCTCAGGGTCGTGCGTCACTATCATGTTTGATGTATCTTAGCATTTCTCTGAACCACGAGAGCAATTGCATTTCCTCAACCAACCAATAAGTCAGGTCAAACAACGAGGAAAAAAAAAAATCAAGCAATAATTGTCTTTATTTTTCAAATCTTTTGTAGTTGGTTGTTTCCTTAAAAGAATCTTCTCATTTGTCTTCAGATAAAGTATTATAACGTCTGCACTTCATTTCTGCAAAAATGCCCAGAACCAGCCTCAAAAGTCACTGCAGAAAAGAAATCATGAGCTGAGTTCAGGACAATCAGCCTCTGCTATTTCCCGATAATAGGCTTTATAGTGATGTTTGGATTCCACATTACACTTCAGCAGAGGTAGAGGACTTGCTGGGACATGGCGAGAAGCAGATGGTTTCTATGAAATGGTGGGGCAGGGTTGTTGCATGGGAGGGAAGGCTGATTTGGCTTCTATTATGGCCTGCTGTTATTGCTGGTGTATTCAACTATATGCTAACTTTCATTACCCTCATTTTTGTTGGCCACCTGGGTGACTCACAGTTTGCTGGTGCCTCTCTTGCTTGTCTGGGACTTCAAGGTCTTTCTTTTGGACTTATGGTACGTATTTCAAAATTCAATTCAATTTTTTTTTTTTTTTTTGCTTTAAAATTGGTTAGAGCCCTTGATATGTTTCCTAAGGATCTGTTTCTTATCAGAATATATCATAGTGAAAAAATGGATAGGTAAAAAAAAAAACAAAAAGATTTAAGAAATGATAAAGTTAGATGTGATAAAATTTAAACATGGGGTTCTCTCCCATATCAGGGAATCTATTCTTGGGGAGAAAGATAGAGGAGAGGTGGCTCCAACATGTATGGGTCCCTCTTCAACTTTTTACCCCCTCTTCTAAGATCTTTGCGGATGCTCCCCGGGTTGAAATTAAGGTTTATAGTTATATTATACCCTTGTTTCTAAAAAATTTGAGGTTTATGGTTCTTTTCTTCTATCAAATAAACTTAACTAATTAAAAAAATTATTTAAGCAGATGCAAGTCATGCTGTTGTTCAGTCTATTGAAACTAAGCTGATTTCCGCTTTTAACATTTGTTAATTATTACCCATAAACACAGTGTGTTATGGAAAACAAACAATGGTCAATTTTATGTACAACCTCTAGCTAAAATATATTTAAGCAGGTAGGAATGGCTACTGCAGTACAAACTCTATGTGGGCAAGCATATGGGGCCAAAAAATATGCAGTAATGGGCATCATATGCCAAAGATCCATTATATTGCAGTTAGTAGCAACTATCCTTCTAACTTCCCTATTTTGGTGTTGTGGTCCACTTCTCAGCTTCATTGGAAGATCGGAGAGCAATGGTATTGCAGAGTATGGCCAAGTTTTTGGGCGTCAATCAGTCCCTCAACTCTATGCATATGCAGTTCACTTCCCTTTGCTGGGGTTTCTCATGGCACAGAACTTAATGAACTTTCTTGCGTACCTAGCAGTTGGTGTTTTCTTCTTGCATGTGCTTCTAACATGGCTAGTGGTTTCTTTTCTAGGCTTTGGCCTTCGGGGGGCTGCTCTTACTTTAGGCTTTTCTTGGTGGGTTCTTGTGATTGTCACAGGACTCCATATTACTCTGAGTCCCTCTTGCAAGGAAACTTGGACCGGTTTCTCAATTAAAGCCTTCACGTTAAAAGGACTCTGGCCTTATTTCAAGCTAACTGTTTCTTCTGCTGCTATGATATGGTATGTGTCAAAACCGCTCTATGGAAAATTTTCAAGTAGACTCGATTGGTGGAAGATAGATAGATGCAAGACAGGCACACTTTTGAATGAAACCCACCTCTGATTTGCTTTCATGCCTACCCTAGGAACTAGGGAAAAAATGGTGCATCAATGTGCTAGCCAAATTTTTTGAGTACTCGAATTCACAATATTGGCATGCAAAATAAGATTTGTATGTCTTTTTTCGGTGTAGCAGTAATTAAGGGCTGCTGCTATCGAAACTCAAATAGTCAAATTTACCAAGGTCTCTCTGTTTCTGTTTGGTTTAGATTTTATTATTTAATTTATTATGAAGTTGAAAGTGATTCTGTTGTATCTTTGCAATTGTGACAGAGGGAGAAAGAGAGGGAAAGAGAGAGAAGAGAGAAGAGAGGTATAGAGAAGAGAACAAGGGGAGTAATCTGAACACGTACCGTATCGTTCAAGTCATATTCTGAATTTACAATAGGTATCTATTTATAGGCTAGGCTCCTGCCCATTGCTACTAACAGTTATTAACTAATCTTTTTAACTAACTTCATAACGTCCTTTCCCGCTACTTACATTTATTATAAATATCTATCAGATTCTGGATAAATTATTTTTTTCAGTGTTCTATGAAGAAAACTCCTTTTTGAAATGTTTCCTGCAAACAATTTACTTGGAGTTTGGACAAAATTTCCTTGTTGATCTGTCTTCTGGACACATATCCTAGTAAATGAACTAATTTGCTTTTCAGATCTAGCGACATGTCTGCACACACATAGCTTTCCCATTCCAATTTTCCTTCTCATAGTAGTGTCAGTGAACTCTTACTTTGTGTTGGCTTAACTGTATTAACCATTTAATTCATTAAGCGTTTTTCACTAGTCTCTTCTGCGCTTCATTTCCTTCTTTCTGTTGAATACTGACTCAAAAGCAAGTTGCTATCCTAACAATGTATTGCAGAACCAATTCCTTACAATCCTGTAAATTATCCTATTACATTTCCTCTCATACAACCCAAAAAACAACATTCCTCTGTGTATGTGTATATACATATATATATATATATATATATATCACCGATATCAATATCAGTATCAAATCTATGGCAAGTTGCACTGTTCACAAGCTGTGGATAGTGAGACTTGTTACGCAACCTTCATGGAATGCATGGGAATCATCTAGTCTGCACATCTAAATATAATTTCAAATCTATAAAAAGCTGCACTATTCATAAGTCATAAATAGTACATCTTGCTTTAGACTCTCTGCAAAATACAGCTCACAGTCTAGTTTTGCTTAAAATCTCTACCTGGTGATCCAAAAGAAACATTTATCGAATGGTTGTAGCTTGGAAGGATGGTACCCTCTTTCAGTGTATTTCATATCACAGATGCTTATCAACTCTACCGTCTCAGTGGACCCTCTTTCTATTTGGCAACTGATATTTTTTTCTCCATTTTTTTGTATCTCTTTAGCATAAGTTTCATGCCTCTAAATAGAATTCCTTATAACGTGTAATTGTGATGCTTTCAGTCTCAACTACATGAACTGGGACAATAGTTTTTTTGCTGGCATGTTATTGGGCTCCAGGTTGGTGCGTGTATGGAATCAATTGATTTCATGTCAACCTTATACACACATTTCAGCATTTTATTAACGAGTAATTTCTATGCTGGTCTTTTATAATTTTTTTTTTGTGCGGGAATAACTTCATAGAAATTCACGAAATCAAATGGTTTATTCTTTATTTGAACTTATTTTATGTTTCATTTCTGCTATTTTGATTGGATCTGGATGTAATGCAACTTGAAATGAAGGGAAATGACATTTGAAGACCCTTGAAGAACATTACTTACAGTTAAGGACTATGAATTTTAGGTATTTCAAAAAAAAAAAGTCAAGATTTTTGGCTGGAATTAAAATGTTTCGAATGTGATTTTTTTTTCAATACTCATGTGTCATCTTTTTAGTACTCAATTTTGTTCTTCACTGTACTCATCTTTAATATTTTCAATTTATTAGTATTCAACTTTGATTTTTTCAATACTCAGTTTTTATTTTTTTCTAGTATTGAAAATATTAAAGATAAATATTAGAAAGATCAAAGTTGAGTACTAAAATATTGTAATAATGAGTATTGAAAAAAATCAAGTACTAAAAAAAATGAAAGAAGAGCATTAAACAAATCAACTAAAAAATTAATTCCAGTGAAGGATCTTAGCGACTTAGTTCTTAGAAATTTCTAAACATTGGGGTCCTCGACAATAATTAATTTTTTGGCCAAAAAAAAACTATATTTAATGAAATTTGGGCGTATGAAATGCTGATGGCAATTTCCAATCCGACGGTAGATTTCTTGAGAAACTTATCTTATAAAAACCTATCAAATGTTGCAAGATTTATTTCATTTGATCCTGTTTTCAATAATCCTAATTCACATGATTCAATAACTTTTTTTTTGGGTATTTTTTCTCAAATCCTCCATCGCATTAATAGCAATCAGTTTTAATTAAAAAAATTAAGGTCCAATATAGAAAAAATAATAATCATTGGATTGTATATGCATTGTGATTCGATTTTTATAAAATTAAACCTAAAAAATCAACTAGTAACTAGTTGCTCTTGAAATGTGACAGTGTAAATTTGCAGTGTTCGTGTAGGTAATGAACTTGGGGCAGGTAATCCAAGAGTAGCAAAACTCTCAATGGCTGTATATAGTGGAATCAGCGTCCTTATCTGCTTCGTTCTCTCTGTAGTAATTGTGATATTTCGGGTTGGACTAATCAAGCTTTATACTTCTGATTCTGACATTATTCAAGTCACATCTAGTTTATTTCCTCTTGTTGCCATCCATCCTCATCAGTGGCTATCACAGTGTCCTCTCTGGTATTTATTTATTTATTTATTTTTCTTTTTTTGCTGCTTCTCTCTTGATTCTTAGTTCTGTTTCTTAAAACTGATGTTTTCTTGAGTATGTCAGGCCAGGCGATTGGAAGTGGACGGCAAACTCTGGTAGCTTGGGTGGACTTTGTTGCTTATTATCTTATTGGCATCCTCTTGTCATGTGTTCTTTCCTCTAAAACCAGTTTAGGAGTTGCTGTAAGTTTGGACTCTCATGAGTCATTTGGTTGCTGAAGAGAATGAGAATGGAATGGATTATATATATATATATGTATGTATGTATGTATGTATAAGTTTTCATTTTACTATGATAAGCTAATTATACTACTTTTATCTTGGTATCAACTTTGTTGTGGAAAAACCCAATTATAACTCTCAATTTCAGTAACCTCCTTGTGAATATGATTGACTTGTTTTTTTTCTTCACATTTTGATTAGTTTAGTTTTTTCTTTTATTTCTTTAATTCATTTTATCGTTATCTTTTCCAATAATCAAACGGATCTTAAAGTATTTCATGCTTTCTATTAATCTTATACAAGTAAATAAACAGCCTGCTTGATGGTGATGATGGTAAAATATGCATTTTAGGCTTGTTATTGTTTAGGGCCTTTATTGGGGTTTGATTATTGGCCTTGTTCTTCGGACAGCAACAATCACTATCATTATGTTCCGAACGAACTTGGGATGCTAAGGTTCTCAATTTCTGACCAAACAAAACCTTCTCCATTTCAAGCTCTATCCCCCCCCCCCCCTTCTCTCTCTATATATATATGGAATAAATATAACTTTTGATCCATATATTTTACTCGTGTTTTACTTTTAATTTCTATAATTTTTTAATTGTTTTAGGTTCCTATACTTTTTTTCAATGTTTTAGGTCCTTATACTTTTATTTTTCATTATTTTGAATCCTTTTAAATTCATTATACATTGCTTATAGAGGGACCAAAAATAATGAAAAATAAAAGTGTAGAGACTTAAAACACAAAAAAAAAGTATGAGGATCAAAAACAAAATACGAGTAAAGTATAGGGATCAAAAGTTATATTTACCATATATATATATATATATTCCCTCCCTTCAATATTATAAGACATTTTTTTCAAAGTATCATGTCAAAAATATTAGGCATTTTGAATTTTTAAGGTGCAATCAATAAAGTTTTTCAAAAAATATCCTTAATTAAGGGTGTGATTAATAAAGTTTTTTAACTAACACTCTATTAAATAAAAATAAAAATAAAAATAATGTATAATTTTAAAGATAGTTAACTAATTCATTAAAGGTATAATTCAGTTAAAATGATTTATAATATTAATTGGAGGAAATAAGACATTTTTAACTAACTTTATAAGGATTACGAAAAATAGTCAAAAGTGCTTTGTATCATTAGAATGGCAGAAAATTATCATCACTTCCAAAATTTCCCTCTAATTAAAATCAATCTATCTTAATTACCTTTAATTTCTTTTTTTATATGATCTCCCTACAATACAAGTAACAAGGGCATTTATGGAAAAAAAATTAATGCTATTGACTTTTTGCAAAAAGTTCTATATTTTAAACTAATAGCTGGTAAAAAAAAAGTATTATATTTTAGACGGGAATGAGTGGATAAAGTATCTGGAGACAATATATATATATATATATATATATAATGAATGTGAAGAAGAAAAAAGAGTATGGTATATAATTACATTATTTTCTGTCAACCTGTCTCTCTATTCTCAATGAATGACTGTAGAGAATTGAATTTAACTCCATCATTCTGGATGCAAATTATGTAAACTAATGAAGGTGATCATTCTGAACTAATTATGTTGATTCTTTGGTTCAATTTTGACTTTGTAGGCTGAAAAGGTTGCTGCTTTTTTGAAGAAATCTGCAGGTGAAGAGATCTTGAAGGATTTGGTTGACGATTGTTAATGCATTTGATTGGTCAAGTCAATTTGATTAATCCAAGTTGTTACGAGCCAAAACAAGAAACAAAAAAAAAAAAAAACATTGTTTGTTTTTTTTCCCCCCTCAAGATTACAACTCATGGGACTATCCATTATTAAATGATAAAAACGAACTCATCACCTCATGTACAAATACAATGACGCATCACAAAATTGTTCTTTGCAATCCAAATATTAGATTTTTTTTTTAATTTTATTTTCAAATTATTTTTATATATTTGAAAACTTAATTGACAATGATAATTTTTTAGCTTATATAAATAATATTTTGTCAGAACGAATTTGTTATTTCACTCATAGAAATTTAATATACTAGTAAGTACTATAAAATTGATTTATTGAATTTTTTTAGTTATGCACTAGAATTTAAAGAATTTTATGAAAGTCAATAAAATATTTGTCCATAAATGAATGTTCACTAGTTTTATAGTATTACATATATTTTGTATTGATTGCAGCGTTTCAGTTTAGAAGACTACTACTCCTTCCATCCTTATATATAAAGTGTTTTTAACCGAATCTTGCATATTAAAAAAGGTTTGTTATTTAGATAAACTCACATAAAACACAATAATTTTTTAGTTTTACCCCTAATAATATCATAATTAATATCATAATGGTAGTAGGAAAAACATACAATTAATAATT